ATGTCGCATGACCTAATTACACAGTACAATGCAAAATGTGTTAGAAACCTCTATCTGGTCGATTTTGAGTTATCATAAAAAACTAATAATAAAAGTCATAAACTTTCGTACAAACCTGTTTTTGTGACAAGATATTATTCCTAAAGTGCATAAAAATGTGATTTATGGAGGTGGTCTGCAAAGGAATTCCGTAAAACAAAGAGAAATGTCCGCAAAAATTGCCTTAATGATCGGCTTCTTCGCGTAAACATCGCACAGTAAACCCCAATACAACCGGTACCAAAATAAACCATGCGCATTGCCCTAGCACGTCATCAACAAGAATTTCCCGGTGATGTCAATTGTCATGACAAACCAATCAAAAACGTTTTTAGAATGTAAACAAACCCATTGCTTGTTGCTAGACTGAGGCCGATGGCGTTGGTACGCGTTCACTCATTCGCTAATATCGCTCACGTGGTACAGGCGGCGCGCCGCGGCGCAGTGCATTGTGGGAAATTTTAATGGCTGCGCCCATGGAATCAAAGCCGACTCGTGTTATTTATCAACTTTATGCTTCGATTTTTGCTGATTTTTGCACTCGTGTTGTAATTTTGTTCCAAGGAACGCTATTTTAATTTAAGCCACCATGTGCAGCAGGGCAGAAAACATCGCTCGGGCCTTGAATGAGCTCGCAGATGCAAATCTTGTCGGCTCCGCACCCGTTGGATCTTGGAACAAGCTCATTGGGGATTATTACGTGGATGATACGGGCATAGAATCAGATTCAGATGGCAGTGACGATGATAAAAACAGTGAGGATATTGTGAATGTTGTGCTATTGACTGGGAAGGATGAGAATAACTTAGACTTGCTCTCAGATGATGAAGGTGATGTAGGTCTGCATGATCATGCACAAGCACACACCGGTGCAAACAACCATAACAATGCAGCACAGCATGTGGAACAGAATATTGATGATTCAGAAAGTGATGGGGAAGAGGAGGCAGGACTGGGCCAACAAGGCGTTCATGAGGTTGATGAGATAATGCAGCAGGTAGACTTTCTTGATCCAGATGTAGAGACGGAAATGGACAAGATTCGAAATTTTAATTGTGAATGTGTTTCGCGTCGAAAAAAAAAATTCAAAGAAACGTTACGAGTCATGCAGTGCAAAGCTTACTCCCGAGTTCATATATTGGTGTCGTCTGGATATGGCTGCACTCTCATCAGACGAAAAGGATCTTGTGATAATAGGCAAGATAAGCAGTCTTGGGAACTTCGGTGAATTCACCGAGCGATCAAAACAAAAGAACCAGAAGAAGCGAGCACATCAGAAAACGTCATACCTTGTCGAAGGCAAAAGCATTTGTCGGAGTGCATTCAGATTCGTCCACATGTAAGTGAGCTAAGTTTTTGTCATGTTATTCTTGATGATTGATTAACATAAACAGGAAGTATCCCTCACTTTATTCATTGATTTCTAGCCCAGCATCATTGACATAAAGTCATCATGGAAAGATTAGTAAATAACACAGGTTAATTCAACAACATTGGCATTTACTACAATTTCTACACAAAGATTTATTACTATAATTTGATTTACTTTTACTTCTTGCAAATTTCTTTGCTAGTTTAAGCTAAAGTTTAGTTACTTTTTATTTTTGGTTTATTCTTATTTGTTCACTTATTCATAGTGGTTGAGATATATTTAATTCTGTAATTCGCAATTCTATTATTCAGTTATTCGCTTAATATTTTACCAAACTTTGGGGACTATACTCCTGATTAGAAAACATGCAGCTAAAATGAATGTACATGTATGGACTATCTAGACCACACCCTAAGATTGCCAGCACTGAATCTTGTGGTTTATCTTGGAAGGAGTATTGGAGTACACCAGCTGGTAGAGTCATTAGGAACCTCCACTCCAGGTTTATAGCTGAGTGTAGAATCTGTGTTTTAAGTTGCATATCGATAATAGGCATAGCTACATGTGTGGGTATAATATCGATAGTGTGCTGTGTGAGTAGGGTTGTGTACAGCTGCTGGTACATGTAATTGCTATGTGATCAGATCAGTGCACCATCAGCCTGCACAGGGAAACCACAAAGGTTGCTAGTATTGCTACTCCCTAGCTCATTGGTATGTATTAGTTTTTGTGGTAAATTGTTATTGAGTGCAGCACTGACTAGGAGTTTTAGTGTTCTTGCCTGGACTCGAAAGTTGCTGTGAATATTTAAGTAGGTGGATTAAGAAACAACTTGTTCCTTGATAATTTTACTAACGAGCGTATTTTCCTCAACTAGGAACCTTTATTCTTTGACGAAAGAATTCAATAAGTTTGAAATTTGTTTGATTTAACTTTGATTTAATTTTCCTATTTCTTAGACTCTAGTTTACTGTAGTTATATACTTTACATAGTTTGATGTTTACTTATTATTGTTTCCTTTCTGTTTTTCATTATAGACTTACCCATCAACCCTTTTTCTTTTTGTTGCTGTTAAAATAAACTTGTAAAAAGAACCAATATCCGGGTCACAAGCGTCGTAGACAGGATACAAGTTAAACACACAAAAAAGGGTTGGTGAGGTGATCAACAACATCGATGGCGAGGCACTACAGGATGAGGTAAAGTCCCTGGCGGCAAAGCTGGATGCCATGACTGGGAAGGGGAAGGCCAGCATGCCCAAGATAGTTGTCATGCCTCGAGACCGGGGAACGAAGCTGGTGGGAAGGCCTACCCATGACAAAGACCCGGAGGTACGAGAGTGGGCGGAAGACATGCGCCGGCTAACCAAGGACATGTCCGATGATGAGGGTGCACAGATGGTGCTCGACCATCTCACCGGCGGTGCACGAGCAGAGATTCGGCTCTGCCCCCCTTCTGCGCGAAGCACTGCGGACAGGATAATCGAGCACATCATCAAGACGTACACCTGTCAGGAGACCCCATCTACCCGCTGGGAAGACTTCTATGGCCGCAGACAGAGAGGGGGAGAGTCAATTCAAGAATTCTCCCTGAACTTGCTCAAGTTGCTGAGGAAGGTGGAGATTGCTTCACCCGAGGGCAGTCCCCTCCTGGAAAACAAAGACGACATCCTGAACAAGAGGTTTTTGTCGGGCCTTGCCGATGTGTCTCTACAGCGAGAGGTCAGGCGGTACATTCAAGAGAACCCAGGAGTGGAGTTTTCTGACCTTAGAAACAAGGTCATGTCCTGGGAGAGCCCCCCATTACCACCTGTTACAGAGGCCTGTGCAACCAAGGCAAAGACTGAAGACACTGGGGTCTGTCTCCAGAAACAGCTGGATCAGCAGGCCAGCCAGTTGAAAGCCACCCAGGAGGCCTTGAGTCAGTTATGTGGGCAGGTGTCCACCCAAGAGTATACAGAGGCCTGCCCACCTGCTTCAAATGCAACTGGGCTGAGGCCTCGCCGTTCAACCCATCCCAACGAGTAAACAAGGATTCCCCAAATGCCAACCCTCCACAGTAACGAGCCAGGCGTTGGAGGGAAGATCAGCTGGCTCAACTAACTTGAGCAGAGGTGAAGTTTTTGGTAGAGCAGTTACAAAGAGCCCGGAAGTGACCATCACAGTGTTGGGACAGGAAGTTCGCTTCATCCTTGACACTGGGAGTGAGGTAACTATTCTACCAGAGACTGTCTTCAGCAGATTGTCATCCCAGCAGCCTGCTGTGCAAGATGTCACCAAATAATGGCTGAAAGTGTATGCCGCAAATGGGATGGAACTGCCGTACACTGGTTACATAGAGCTGGAGATGGAAGTTCTAGGCGTTCAACTTAGCCGAGTAGGAGTTCTCGTCTCCAAGACGTCTCTAGAAGATTCCCAACCTACTGGCCTGCTCAGATGTAACGTCATCAGCGCAATGAGGGAAGCCTTGAAGGAAAATATGGCGGTAACTACCTGAACGCGACACAGACATATGGAAATCCCCGGTGGGCAGAAGCGCTACTGGCATATGAGATTGCTAAACGGGATGAGACAAAGTCTGGATTCGCCCGATTGAAAGGGGCATCACCAATCTGCATTCCTGCCCGTAGCCTGAAGGTGGTGAGCTGTTCCACGAGACAAAGGAGAAGTGGACCCCAAGAAGTGCTTATCCAGGCTGTCAGTGGTGACACTGGCAACCTACCCAGGAACATAGCCCCGATAGACACATGCTCTGTCTCCGAGAATGGGACAGTGTCTGTCCAAGTTGTCCATGTAAGCGAGGAAGACGTGTGGTTGCAGCCTAAGAGCCGGATTGGCATTGTATCCCCAGTGCGAGTCCTCCAATCGAGCTCTGGCAGTATTCATGAGACAGGCGATTGCATCCACCTTGATACGGGAGACGCTAGGGAAGTTAAGTCCAACCGTCTCTCTACGACAAGGCCACAAGTCATGGAACCTCTACCCTTTGATATCAATCTCGAAGAGGCAGAAATCAACCATGACGAACGGCGGAAGCTGATTGAACTTTTTGGGAAGTACAGGGATGTGTTCTCCCATGGAGAGGACGACTTGGGATTCACAACCACTGTAACCCACAGAATCTCCACAACCGGTGAACACCCAGTCCGTGTACCCAATCGAAGAATACCCCCACACCAAATGACAGAGGTCAAGGCTCATTTGCAACGGCTGCTGGAACAGAAAATCATCAGACCTACAACCAGCCCATATGCTGCCCCAGTGGTCATTGTACGCAAGAAGGACGGTAGTATGCGCCTCTGCGTTGACTATCGGGCCTTGAACGAGCAGACGAAGAAGGATGCTTACCCTATCCTGAGGATTGACGAGGCCCTGGATTCCCTAGGAGGTGCAAGAATGTTCTCTTCATTGGACTTGGTACAGGGTACCACCAGTTAGCCGTTGCTTACAATGCAAACTTGGTCGAGGTCATGAGTAGAAGGCTAAAGCAGCTCGCATCCATTACCGGGAAGACCGCGATGGGGCAACTGATGCAGAGAACACTAGTATATTTACTGTTGATATGCAGAAGGTTATCCTTCTCCCCAAAATGACCATCAAAGAACACTTCTTTGTTAGCAGATTAGTTGTCTTCAATGAGACATTTGCATCAGTAAAAGAAGATGGCGACTTTGTAATTTTGTGGCACGAGGCCATCTCGGGTAGATTAGGCGTGGACGTTGCCTCCACGAATATAAAGTGTGTGAACCTTTGCGAGACGGACATTGTGATATTCTGGGCAGACAACTGCACAGGACAAAACAAAAACTGGGCCCTTTACACTGTGTTGTGTTGGTGTGTCAATCAAAACTGGGGCCCTCAGAGTATCACAATGAAATATTTCGAAAGGGGACACACTTTTATGCGTGCAGACAGCGTCCATGGTAGCATCAGAAGAAAAATGAAAAAGTGTCCCGAGATTTGTACCTTTCAGGATTTCGTAGATGTCTGCGACAAATCTGGGGCTAAGATCAAGCCAAGAACATTACGCTACCTCTTCTCAACTCAATATCCGTGGCAGAATTTCGAAAAGGTTCACGCGCAATGTGGTTTAAGCAGGGTTTCAAGGGAGACTACCAGGAAGTCTGCTTTCTGAAACCCAAGTTCAGACTGGACGTTACTCCACCTACAAAAAATCAACCAAGAGGTATTCCTGACGCGAAACGCCAGAATATTCTCAAACTGGCAGATTCATTCACTGCGGCAGCTAAGAAGAAATTCTGGCAGGAAATTCCAGTGAATGACGGAAATGCTGATCTGGTTGAAAACTTTGAGTAATAGTTTATGTAATCAAACTAGAGTTGGTGTTTCTTCATATTTCTCCTGAATTTGTTCAGTTTTTAAGCAATAAAGTAAAGTGCTGCTGACTACTAGGTTTTTGTTGATGGAAATCTTTGGTTGAGCGATTGGTTTGATCAGGTAAAACCTAGTAAGTTGTTATGTAGGCATATTAAACCAGTGAATGTAATAAAAACATATGCACTGAAAAGGCTTCTAATTATCTTCATCTAAAAAGCTAAAATAAAATTTGTTTTATATTCAGTAGCTTAATCCTGAAACAAAACAGTTTTCCTTTGTTTTCTCAAATTCGCATTCAACAGACTTACTAGGTTTTTCCAGATTACAGGAGAGCTACAAAAGGATTGTCGACAGAGTTCGAGATGATCCAGTCTTGTCTGGCGTTGACATTCCGCTGCCAAACATAAATGCGAAATCCATCACAGCATTCTTTTCAAGACAAGACAACAGATCAAACTTCCTTGCAACTGCGCAACCAAAAGTGACAACTCACCGGAAAGTTTTGTCATTACAACCGATGCCAGCCGCATCCAAGCTCCATCAGTCCCTTCCATCACCATCTTACACTCAAGTACAATACAAAGATGTTCCCCACGAGTCTGGTAAGCGACTTGATGCGAAGAGGCAGCTTGAGTTTGATGCTCCTGAAACACCTGATCTGACTGAGCTTCCACCACAGTCATCAGCTTCCACAGAGCCCAAATTTCCCCGCCGTATTTGTCCTAAATCAACTGCATTTCCAGGATCAAGTGGCGTACCAATTCTCTTGGTTGTGCCTTCACAGCCAATGGCACAATCCGTCTCCCTACAACCTGCATCAAGTAGTGTGCCTTTCATATGTCAACCTCCACCTCCTCCACCAACAAAACAGGCTCGTTCCCTCCCTAACCCATCCACCAAACCATGTGCTGCATGTCATGCACCAAAATGTGGTGGGCTTTGTAAGAGGTACACACCATCAAAGGCCAAAACTGTTGGTAGTAATCAGAAAATCTTCACCTTCTGTCCAACCACCAACAAATCAACTACAACTGGATTTGAGGAAGTGTATGACAATTACGAACATTTTAAGAGAGTGGTGGATGAAGAGCTGGAGGGGAGGAAGAGTACCGATACACGGAACTATTAAGGTTCTACTTTTAAAGTCCTCCTTTATCTTTTAGCTTTTGTCACTGATAACAGCTTTCCATTTTGATGGGAAATTTTGAGATATGAGAAGAATTTTTCAACATTACCATTGTCAATGCATGGTATTGATTTTGATCGGTTCTTGTAAATAGTTTGGTCAAATAGAATGTGGTTTTCAGCTACCATTATGTTTAACAAAATATAATTTGTATTAACATATTTTAAATTGTTTTCCATTAGGCATGTCAGTAGAAGATGGCATGTCAGCAGATGCAAGAGGGAAGGCCAAGCAGTACGCGAAATGTCTCTGTCGACATGACCTGATGAAGTTTGCTCACTTCATGTTGGATGTGGTGACAGTTCTCTCGAGAGTGTCCGTAGCAGCCCAAGTGTCAAACAACACCGTGGCAGACGTAGCGGCGTCCATTGATGCAGCTGTTGCAACTCTTTTGAAATACAAAACAAGGTAACTAACACTTCATTGTTTTGGTGATCTGAAAAAAGCATCCTGACTGCAGATAACTTTTCATTAATGTTTTTTCTTCTTATTAACATAGAAAGATGACGCCCAAGTTGCAGGACTTTGGTGATGTTGGCATATTCAAAAGGGAGCCCCTGACTGGAGGTGGAGATATCAGTGCAGCAAAGTGCTGACTGGCCTAGATACAAGCCTTGACTATGTTGACGGCCGATTCGAAGACATGAGCAGAGGTGTACTGTCTAGCTTCAGGATTGCTAGCTTCACATTTTGGCCTATGGAGCTACAGGCAGCAGAGGGTAAGTTGAGGAAAATGAATTGGTTCAACTTGCATGATATTGATAGCCAAAATTCTATTAATTAAGTTAACTAGTCTTATTAATACAATTGTATTTTTCTTTTCAGACTTTGGTGACGAGTATATATCTCAGCTGGTGAGACACTTTCTGCCAGTTTTGAAGGAGGCTGGAGTGGATACGGATGCAGTAGCTGTTGAGTGGGACCTCCTGAAACAGAGACTATATGCCAAGTAAGATACATGTATGTACATTTTATGGGCCTTTTCTTTATTAAATGACAATTTTATAAGCAGAAATGACATTTTCTAAAAAAATTTGCATCAAGTATTAGTTATTTAAATACTTTTATTTGTCAATAACAACAGATACAAGACAATCACCAATGCCAAATGGGCAGAGGTGATTCCAGCTGTGCAGGAAGAGCTACCCAACAATAGCAGCATGGTGGACCTGATGCTGACAATTCCAGCAAGCTCTGCCGATGCAGAACGTGGCTTCAGCCGCCTGAAGCTCCTGAAAACAGACCAGAGGACACGTCTTCTTGATGACTCCGTCACAGACCAATTAGTTGTAATGCTTCATACCCCCAGCATTGAAGAATTTGATCCAATGCCAGCCATTGACCTTTGGAACAAAACTGGTAAGCGAGCAAAACGTGTAGATAAGGGAGTGGCCCAGCATGAAGAAGGTCAAGTTCAAGGGGAGTCAAGCGAGGAGGAGCCCAGTGATGATGAAGACGATGTCATGATGGATGAGGTGCCACTAGACTCTGACTAGAGTTAGAAGACTGCAAGCAGTGACTGCAAGTGCAACTTTTCCTCAGATCAGCAGATTTCTTTTTTTTGTCTTTCATTTCTGCCTTTGAATGAAAAGCACTGTACAAAGTCCTCCAAATTTCAATATGTCCCCATTTTGGGGCGACTTTACAGTTGCATGCCTGTACACAAATGTAGATAAGAACATGTAAAATGGCATTTATTTCATGTGACTAAAGTGACTGAACCATTCATGTTTACTCAAGACATTATGGAATTTCTTTTCTCTTGTCAACATTATTGTAATCATAGTTAACAAACAACACTTGCAAATAAAACATCTCAGAAAGCAACACAATGATAATGTATTCTTTACGTCTGTTTTTTCTGTAGTATTGATCTGTTAAAGTAAACAAAGGCGCTGCGTTCCATTTGCTCAGAAAACACAGATATATGGCATATGTACATGCGGGCTAGTGAAAATGCTTGCGGGCCAGTGAAAACTCTAATTAACTAGCCCGGCTGGCCAGTGAAAAAAAAAGTTTAGGAAAACCCCTGATGTATGTACTGCAGGTGGGATAATGGGTAGTCTACGCTTATGACCCACACGCAAAGATGAAGTCTCTAAAAAATTTATCCAAGTTATATTAATTTGTTATTTGGTCAAACAAATGAGAAGCTAACATTGTTCAATTATTTTAAACCATACAGAATTTAAAGGGACCTTTTAGTGTTACATAATACATATGCATCACTTAACTAGACATTCCCTTATAATTTCTTTTTTATTGGTTGTCTACATGTTTTTATTCTATTCTTCTTCTTTTTTATACAGCTGAAGAAGAGCAATTCCATGAAGAAGAGGTGGAGTGTCATGTCGAGAAGAGATGGAGTGTCATGGCCTAGCGGTTAAGAGCACCGGACTCATGTTCTGGTGTTTCAGAGGCAACAGTAACGTAGGTTCGAGCCCGCCGGCGGACACTTGTGCTCTTAAGCAAGGAACTTAAACCATTATTGCTTCATCCTTCGGATGGGACGTTAAGCCGTAGGTCCCGTGTGTTGCATAAATGCACGTAAAAGTAAACACTTATCGCTAAGAGAAGGGGTTTGCCCTGGTGTTTCTGGCCTCCTGTATAAACTCCCACGTGGAGTATTTAGGAGAAGAACCAACCAAGAACCAAGAGATGGAGTCGGAGTCCGAGGACGAGGGCATTGAAGATGAGCGCACAGATGCAGACGCGAGTGATATTCAAGTGGACCCCATGGACTCAATCAGTACCATGCTGTTGTGACCAAGGAGGACCAGATAACAGGAGAGATCAGTCCTGTCCTGGAAGATGTACTAATGAAACCAAGTCATCTTCGTCTCCCTGGGTATGATGATGTAGAGAACCTGGCACTCCTCCTATACAACTTTCTGATGATGGTGATCATCATATCATCCCTGTCAACCTCAGAAACAAGATAGCAGAAGCAGCTGGTAAACTTGCAGAACATGACAAGTCTGCTAGAAAGTTGGTCAAAAAGTACGAGTCTAAGTGGGGATATACACTATTTGGTAGGTGCCTAGGGTCTGACAGTCAGGAAACCAGTGCTGCGCAAAAGACACAATTTGGATGGATGAGGTATGCACAGGCAGCTGAAATTACAGAGGAGTCTAGGCTTCTCTACATTCTCATGAAAATGCTGAAGAATAACCCAAAGGTTGGTGGTTTATTATCTGCTTCAAAAGTTGCGGCAATGATCAAACACAGCTACAAAAGGATTGCCGACAGCTACAAAAGGATTGCCGATGTAGTTTTCAGCTACCGGTACCATTAGTCAAAGGATGATGGTATAACAACCTTGCCTTTTATCATTGCTGCCTTTATTCATAGCTCCTTGCTTTGTTTACACTTATTTGTATTGTTTCATGACTTCTTATACTTGTAATCTTGTCTCATCTGGAGTTACATTGTCATATTCTCTGTATATGTTTGTTGCAAATCTTGGCCGAATAAATAATAATAATAATAATAATAATTTGCATATTTTCATACAAGTATCACTGTGGCTTTTATACGTCCTTACATAGTTAATCTACTAGCTTTTGCAGCATTTGTTCATACTGGAAACAGTACAGAAATATTTTCATATAGGCCTACATGTATGTACTGCAGGTGGGATTATTCTGAAGTCAGTAGGTCTCTACGGTATACAAGCAGAGGGAGTACTCAACTTGCACACCCGTGCACACACACACACACACGCACCCCGGAAGGACATGTCAGAAACAGTATGCCCCTTCGGTGGGCGGGGCATAAAAAGCACAGTTGTCAAATGACAAGTTTTTTGTTATTTTATTATATGAGGTACATTGAACACAAACCTATGTATTCTAACCATAATGTGGCTGTGTATCTCAAGGCTAAGAAAACATAGATAGGTACCACCCTATGTGTCTTAGGACATGGGAAAGAACTTTAACGTGAACTTTTTGTATGCTATGAAAGTTTTTCTCACCTTTTTGAATGTAATATTTCTTGGATGAGAAGTCAGTGGACTGGCAGTAGGCATAGTCCACTCCCAAAAGCTCTTCTTCTGCAGGGTCGTTATAGTCTGGGGTGACCATTGGTGCAGAAAAATTGGGCTCAAACAAATGGTCCTTCCCAAACAAGATCTCTGCATGCTGGTTTGAATTTGTCGTGGATCGACACATGAAGTCAGTCGTCCTCGCCCTCCAGCAACCTTCAGTTTTTCCATGCGGTTATTCCATTGCATGGCAAAGGAGATGAGATAAACCTGGAAGATAAGAGAGACAGAAAATGAATCATCACATTAGAATACATGTTTTCAAAATGAAATGTTATAATGCACTTTATAATGAATGTACGGTATTTTAATTTGATTAACAGAACAAAGGAGTGAAAGAACAAAGGAATCAATACAAAATACAATTTCAAATGTACGCATTACTATGTCACTCAACATAGAGCTGAATCTGTTTTCCATCAGGGTTTAAACAACTTCATTCAGAGCTCAACATTATTATCCAAATAGACTAGTGCTCATGATTTCTGACCGTGGAGTGGAACCAGCGAACATGTGCTTAGGTTGTCTCAGACCTGGCCTACAAAATTGGTGGTTTATCAGTTATCCATCTGTTCTGATTGATTGCACATACTCTATAGATACCAAGTCTACTCAGAAGTACAAAGTGGCATCGCGCGTGTATACCTACTGGCGCTTTGAGGCACAACTGGATTTCTTAAATTTGTCACACAATGCACCATTACACAAGTGATGCTACTTTATAATTCTGACTGGACATAATATACCACATCAATGTAAATGTACATGCTAACCTGGAAAGGAATTATTCCACATCGCTTCGAAGGGATGGCATGTAGTAAGTGGGCATGGAGCCCTTCCAAGGTGTTGCTGCCTCTTCGACACCTGTACCTGTTCAGCTGTACTCCATTGATAGTAACAACCTTGGTCGCCACGTACAGCTGGATATTTGGTGGATCCTGAAAATAATGACAATAATGTGGATAATTCCAACTGCATACAATGTTTTTACATTCTTAAGTCAAATATTTTGATATTTTAAATCGTAAGTTGTTAATTTGACATTTTCATTGAGGATATTGTTTAAACATTATGAACATACATTGGGGTCTTCTATAAATTATGTCAGACCTCATTTTGAACAAATTTGAAATCATCAACATTTAATTTTCCATGACTATTAAAAGGGTTCTTTACCATCATTGCATCATTATACCACTGCATTGTTTGGTTATAAAATGAAGTATAGGGATTGAAAAGATATGGGGTCACACATACAAAAGTTCAATATTATACACATCAAAATTCCTATGGCCTGCCGATTGCAAAACAATAGTTCAGTTACAACACCGGTACCAGCCTGCGAAGTTCTGATACCAGTACAGGAGCGTAACGGTGTCGTTACAATTCAGTTGGGCACAGGGGTACAGAACCGATACTGGATTGTACCAACACCGTTACGCTGCAGCCTGGTACCAGTGTTGTAACTTATCTACTGTTTTTCGTTTTTCAATCAGCAGGCTGTAGAAATTTTGTTGCGTATGTAATGAACCATTGTGTAACCTTACCTGCATACAACTCAGATGTTTACCGGCAGTTGCCCACTGCACATCGACAGCTTCTGGTGACTTAAACAAGGGGGATGCCATCGATGTCTAGACCAGCTGGACCCTTGAACTCTTCCAGGATGTACTCAACAGCAGATGCACTCTCAGGCCTGCAGAAAACAAAACCAAAAACAAGAAAACTGTGTAAATGCACTAATTAAAAGTAATCATGATTCCTTTAGTTTTTCAAATTCCACACTCTTGTTTCCTGTGTGAGAAAGAAAACAAAACATTAAAAAGTCACTGATAGGTATCGTTCACACTTTGCAACATCTCAAATCCTCATTATCTGATGAAGGAAAAGTGTTCACAATGCACAGACTAATTTTGAAGATCAAAAATGTGTTTTAATGCATTCAATGCATAGATCATTCTCAATATCAAGTTCTTGAAATGAAAATATGTACAAAATAATAACATCAGCTTACCTGGACACCGGCCACATGTCACTCGGCGCACATACATGTAAGCTGATGCCTGATCAATGTGGCTTGCCGAAAGACAGCCTCATTTCATAATCTCTGTACTGTGAGAAGTCCTTGTTCCCTTTGCGGATGGCTTGGATGAGTTGGTCCATGTCATGTTTGTTGTATGCCAGTACTGCACCAGCATATCCCACCGGTGGAGCCAGTGCCAAATGTCAAGTCTGATGACCATACCATCGTCAGTCCAGTCTTGGAAGAGGGATGCAAGACATGAGGTCCCACCATCCCTGGAACAAATGCAAACAAAATTGAACAGAATTGATAACCATTTCCACCTTATCCCATATATACATGTATCTATACAGTGAAATTTTGCAAACTTCATAGATTTGTTTGTGAAAGTCATTGTTTGAGCAACAAAATTGCTCATAAGAGAACACAACCTTACTCCTTTTTATTTGAAGGTCAATGAAGACGTCATTGTTGATGAATTAAAGTATTTGTACAGCTTAAAACACAAAAACACAGGAATTAATTTGAAAGCACTTCGGCGAACAAACCTATGAACCATGATGGTCAAGCGGTTACGTATCGCATCTATTCTGCCTACCCATGACAGAAGGAAGTATGGGACAGGTAATTTGGCAATTATTGATCATTTTCAGTACATGGATTATCATTGGTCACATGAAATTGATTGCATTTGATAGTAATGAGTAACAATGAGATAATGAACACGACCAAACATCAATGTACCTGCATTATTTGCAAAACTTTGAATAGTTCCAACAAAATATTGTTATGGTCCACAAGTCAAAAACGTAAATTTGTCCCATACTTTCTTCTGTCATGGGGGGGGGGCAGCAGTATTGATTGGGGTTGTATGATCGAGGGTCAGCATGTTGTTTCCTCATGAAGAGAAATGATTCTGATAAATTCCTGGTAATAATGCCAGTGCACTATGACCCTGGTGAAAAGCTGTTATGGCGGCAAATTACTAATAATTATGTACAAATAAGCACAAAATACTTCACATACCTACAACAGTTGTTGTCAGCGTAGAGCACCTTTGGCGCTGCAGCATTGGCACGTTTAAAGCGTGCGATGAGTCCCTGAGCAAGCCTCCTGTAACATTGCTCCGACTCGGAGGCGTGCAGTTGTCAGAAACTGCCCCCACTCATTCAGCACACTGGTGACATAATGCATGGTGCCTTTTCCATCTCCCTGAATTTTCTTAAGAACCTGTAGGAAACAAACAAATGCACACACACTGCAGTAAAAGATTTCTGTCTGAGAATGCTTTCTTCATTTTCCACTAAAATTACAATATAAAATCATGTTTTAATCAAGTGACTGTCATAAGTACAACTTATGTGGGTAAACATTACAAACAGGGTCCACAGGAAAATACAACGTTATTTTTTTTTAAGTGATTCACTTTAAAAAAAAAATGAACTTTTTATTTTCACTTCAAGTGAAACCCCCTATTGAATATGTTGGACTAGCTTGAGTAACTCTAGCCCCATAAATGTGGCCAATATTATTTACTGGACTACCTCCGTAAATAAAGGCCACACTTCCACCATGTCATGCATGTACAAAAAACATGTCGAACTTTGTCCAATTTTGATTTTCACATTTAGGCTTAGTTTGTAGTTTATTTTTGCTTTAGAAGCATACTCACCTTCTTTATAGGCTAATCAGAAAGTGCTGCCTTTTTCAGATGTCTATTTTTCGTCAAATTTCCAGATTCGTTTGCACCCGGTTGCGTATCAAAATTTCCACATGAAATTTCACGAAAATTAGACATCTGAAAAAAGCAGCACTTTCTGATTAGCCTATAAAGAGTGTGAGTATGCTTCTAAAGCAAAAATAAACTACAAACTAAGCCTAAATGTGAAAATCTAAATTTGACAAAGTTAGTCCAACATATTCAATAGGGGGTTTCACTTGACATGCTTGAAGTGAAAATAAAAACTTCATTTTTTTGAAGTGAATCACTTTAGAAAAATAACTTTTTATTTTCCTGTGGACCCTGTTTGTAATGATTAAAACATGATTTTATATTGTAATTTTAGTGGAACATGAAGAAAATGCTCATATTCAAAATGCCCAAAAAAATAAGAAAATAATTTTCTGACAAACATCTGGCTGGGTATGTAAGTAGAGATAATAATGATTTATCAGAATTTATCAAGTTAACAGAAATTCTGAAATGTTAATTTTGAATTTTCTGAGATTTATTTAAGTGCGCCACGTTAGGGAACACTCCGCCAATCTGTGCCCAATTTCCGGACGCCACCGTCTGACTTTGAATTTCGGATAAAATTTTATGAAACCAAAATTGTTCACAGAGGTTAAATAGCAAGCATTAATAAGGTAAAAGTACCAGTATTTGACTGCATGAATTTGAGGTTTGTCAACAAAGAGGTTTGGCAACACTACACGAGGAAAGTTGGGTAAGCTTCGAAGTGCGCCACGTTTAATAGGGAACACGACTATACTGTACACAGTACACACGCTTATAAACTTAGCCTACGTACGTGTACCGTCTAAACCTTTCCTAGTAATCGTAGGTAGGCCTATACATAAAATTTACAGTTTTTTACTCACTCAGGGGTTTCAGCACACACCATGAATGAATATAGCGCTGACGGATCCAGATGTCTTTCTGTCAATTCAACATTTTGAAATCGTGCTCTTATTTGTGGGAAATTGTATCGTAATCCAAATACACTATCTGACTATTCGATCGAGCGAATGAATTGTTTTCGTGAGTATCAACAGCTGATCGACCTATGGGTTCAACTAGGGTGACCGTAAGTTCAGAGCCAAATTCTGCTAAATGCACATCAAAGATCTGTCAGATTTATCAAAAATCTGCCAAATTCCCCAGAATTACTCGAAATACACTATAAACACTTAATATCACATGCAGATTGGTAGTATTGCCTTAATTAAGATTCAAATTACATAATAAACAGTCTAGTCACACAAAGATGTTGTGAAATTATTGGTAAATTTCGGGAAAACGCGGATCCGGCAACGACGAAGTCCGTTTTCAAGTGAACCTCAGCACCTAGACCAGCCAACCTGTCCTATTATGCAAGGGTTTGTTTGAAATGATTGAAGCTTTTTTTAAACAAATGCACACTTTTTTGTTCAAATTTGCTGTTTTTCTGTCAAATAACCATTTTTTAAGAATTCTGCCAGAAATCTGCCAAAAAAATCCATTCTGTCAAATTTTCTGTCAAACAAAAATTCTGTCGAAGTTAGCCGAAAATCGGCTAAAACGGTCACCCAGGATGAAACAGTGCGAAAAAAATTCCCTTAGCCACTAGTGCTAAATGCCCATACTTCCAAATTCTTTTAAAAATACTCAGAACTCTCACAGGTATTTAAGCTGCACAGAAAATTGATGATCGACATGTCATCTGTCAACTTCTTTTCATTTTTTGGTGGGTTGACCGCTGACTTTTTGAGAAATTCTCGCCCAAAGAAGACGACCCCTATTTTCCCCAAAGCGAAACGGTAGCCATCTTGAAAAACGACCCCTCCACAACATGGCAAAATAGCGCCACTTTCAAGCCCAATTGTATCCAAAATGCTCAGAACTGGACGCCCCGAGTCCGGGCTAGAGGTTTATTGCCATATATCTTCAATTCCCCAATGTAACGGCTCTCAGAACTCTCTAATATAGAATATTTTGAGGTATAACTTTTATTCATGAGCTCGGCGGACGGATTTTTGGTCTATTTACAGGCGTGCACCCTGGGGTCTAGGTGCGTTGCAATTTGGGGGGTTGGCCATTTTGGGGTTCCGAATTTTTGGTGTTTTTTTATTTTTTTGGAACGGCGGCGGCCAAGTTTGCTTCAAAACTGGCTAAAAGAAAGTTTACATCGCCTACGACCATACTACGTTGAATACACCGGTTCTCGTCCGATCACCGAAGTTAAGCAACGTCGGGCTTGGTTAGTACTTGGATGGGAGACCGCCTGTGAATACCAGGTGTCGTAGGCTTTTTGTTTTTTGTCTGGGGGCGCTGTTAGTGCGTTGCAATTTGGGGGGTTGGCCATTTTGGGGTTCCGAATTTTTGGTGTTTTTTTATTTTTTTTGGAACGGCGGCGGCCAAGTTTGCTTCAAAACTGGCTAAAAGAAAGTTTACATCGCCTACGACCATACTACGTTGAATACACCGGTTCTCGTCCGATCACCGAAGTTAAGCAACGTCGGGCTTGGTTAGTACTTGGATGGGAGACCGCCTGGGAATACCAGGTGTCGTAGGCTTTTTGTTTTTTGTCTGGGGGCGCTGTTAGTGCGTTGCAATTTGGGGGGTTGGCCATTTTGGGGTTCCGAATTTTTGGTGTTTTTTTATTTTTTTTGGAACGGCGGCGGCCAAGTTTGCTTCAAAACTGGCTAAAAGAAAGTTTACATCGCCTACGACCATACTACGTTGAATACACCGGTTCTCGTCCGATCACCGAAGTTAAGCAACGTCGGGCTTGGTTAGTACTTGGATGGGAGACCGCCTGGGAATACCAGGTGTCGTAGGCTTTTTGTTTTTTGTCTGGGGGCGCTGTTAGTGCGTTGCAATTTGGGGGGTTGGCCATTTTGGGGTTCCGAATTTTTGGTGTTTTTTTATTTTTTTTGGAACGGCGGCGGCCAAGTTTGCTTCAAAACTGGCTAAAAGAAAGTTTACATCGCCTACGACCATACTACGTTGAATACACCGGTTCTCGTCCGATCACCGAAGTTAAGCAACGTCGGGCTTGGTTAGTACTTGGATGGGAGACCGCCTGGGAATACCAGGTGTCGTAGGCTTTTTGTTTTTTGTCTGGGGGCGCTGTTAGTGCGTTGCAATTTGGGGGGTTGGCCATTTTGGGGTTCCGAATTTTTGGTGTTTTTTTATTTTTTTGGAACGGCGGCGGCCAAGTTTGCTTCAAAACTGGCTAAAAGAAAGTTTACATCGCCTACGACCATACTACGTTGAATACACCGGTTCTCGTCCGATCACCGAAGTTAAGCAACGTCGGGCTTGGTTAGTACTTGGATGGGAGACCGCCTGGGAATACCAGGTGTCGTAGGCTTTTTGTTTTTTGTCTGGGGGCGCTGTTAGTGCGTTGCAATTTGGGGGGTTGGCCATTTTGGGGTTCCGAATTTTTGGTGTTTTTTTATTTTTTTTGGAACGGCGGCGGCCAAGTTTGCTTCAAAACTGGCTAAAAGAAAGTTTACATCGCCTACGACCATACTACGTTGAATACACCGGTTCTCGTCCGATCACCGAAGTTAAGCAACGTCGGGCTTGGTTAGTACTTGGATGGGAGACCGCCTGGGAATACCAGGTGTCGTAGGCTTTTTGTTTTTTGTCTGGGGGCGCTGTTAGTGCGTTGCAATTTGGGGGGTTGGCCATTTTGGGGTTCCGAATTTTTGGTGTTTTTTTATTTTTTTTGGAACGGCGGCGGCCAAGTTTGCTTCAAAACTGGCTAAAAGAAAGTTTACATCGCCTACGACCATACTACGTTGAATACACCGGTTCTCGTCCGATCACCGAAGTTAAGCAACGTCGGGCTTGGTTAGTACTTGGATGGGAGACCGCCTGGGAATACCAGGTGTCGTAGGCTTTTTGTTTTTTGTCTGGGGGCGCTGTTAGTGCGTTGCAATTTGGGGGGTTGGCCATTTTGGGGTTCCGAATTTTTGGTGTTTTTTTATTTTTTTTGGAACGGCGGCGGCCAAGTTTGCTTCAAAACTGGCTAAAAGAAAGTTTACATCGCCTACGACCATACTACGTTGAATACACCGGTTCTCGTCCGATCACCGAAGTTAAGCAACGTCGGGCTTGGTTAGTACTTGGATGGGAGACCGCCTGGGAATACCAGGTGTCGTAGGCTTTTTGTTTTTTGTCTGGGGGCGCTGTTAGTGCGTTGCAATTTGGGGGGTTGGCCATTTTGGGGTTCCGAATTTTTGGTGTTTTTTTATTTTTTTGGAACGGCGGCGGCCAAGTTTGCTTCAAAACTGGCTAAAAGAAAGTTTACATCGCCTACGACCATACTACGTTGAATACACCGGTTCTCGTCCGATCACCGAAGTTAAGCAACGTCGGGCTTGGTTAGTACTTGGATGGGAGACCGCCTGGGAATACCAGGTGTCGTAGGCTTTTTGTTTTTTGTCTGGGGGCGCTGTTAGTGCGTTGCAATTTGGGGGGTTGGCCATTTTGGGGTTCCGAATTTTTGGTGTTTTTTTATTTTTTTTGGAACGGCGGCGGCCAAGTTTGCTTCAAAACTGGCTAAAAGAAAGTTTACATCGCCTACGACCATACTACGTTGAATACACCGGTTCTCGTCCGATCACCGAAGTTAAGCAACGTCGGGCTTGGTTAGTACTTGGATGGGAGACCGCCTGGGAATACCAGGTGTCGTAGGCTTTTTGTTTTTTGTCTGGGGGCGCTGTTAGTGCGTTGCAATTTGGGGGGTTGGCCATTTTGGGGTTCCGAATTTTTGGTGTTTTTTTATTTTTTTGGAACGGCGGCGGCCAAGTTTGCTTCAAAACTGGCTAAAAGAAAGTTTACATCGCCTACGACCATACTACGTTGAATACACCGGTTCTCGTCCGATCACCGAAGTTAAGCAACGTCGGGCTTGGTTAGTACTTGGATGGGAGACCGCCTGGGAATACCAGGTGTCGTAGGCTTTTTGTTTTTTGTCTGGGGGCGCTGTTAGTGCGTTGCAATTTGGGGGGTTGGCCATTTTGGGGTTCCGAATTTTTGGTGTTTTTTTATTTTTTTTGGAACGGCGGCGGCCAAGTTTGCTTCAAAACTGGCTAAAAGAAAGTTTACATCGCCTACGACCATACTACGTTGAATACACCGGTTCTCGTCCGATCACCGAAGTTAAGCAACGTCGGGCTTGGTTAGTACTTGGATGGGAGACCGCCTGGGAATACCAGGTGTCGTAGGCTTTTTGTTTTTTGTCTGGGGGCGCTGTTAGTGCGTTGCAATTTGGGGGGTTGGCCATTTTGGGGTTCCGAATTTTTGGTGTTTTTTTATTTTTTTTTGGAACGGCGGCGGCCAAGTTTGCTTCAAAACTGGCTAAAAGAAAGTTTACATCGCCTACGACCATACTACGTTGAATACACCGGTTCTCGTCCGATCACCGAAGTTAAGCAACGTCGGGCTTGGTTAGTACTTGGATGGGAGACCGCCTGGGAATACCAGGTGTCGTAGGCTTTTTGTTTTTTGTCTGGGGGCGCTGTTAGTGCGTTGCAATTTGGGGGGTTGGCCATTTTGGGGTTCCGAATTTTTGGTGTTTTTTTATTTTTTTGGAACGGCGGCGGCCAAGTTTGCTTCAAAACTGGCTAAAAGAAAGTTTACATCGCCTACGACCATACTACGTTGAATACACCGGTTCTCGTCCGATCACCGAAGTTAAGCAACGTCGGGCTTGGTTAGTACTTGGATGGGAGACCGCCTGGGAATACCAGGTGTCGTAGGCTTTTTGTTTTTTGTCTGGGGGCGCTGTTAGTGCGTTGCAATTTGGGGGGTTGGCCATTTTGGGGTTCCGAATTTTTGGTGTTTTTTTATTTTTTTTGGAACGGCGGCGGCCAAGTTTGCTTCAAAACTGGCTAAAAGAAAGTTTACATCGCCTACGACCATACTACGTTGAATACACCGGTTCTCGTCCGATCACCGAAGTTAAGCAACGTCGGGCTTGGTTAGTACTTGGATGGGAGACCGCCTGGGAATACCAGGTGTCGTAGGCTTTTTGTTTTTTGTCTGGGGGCGCTGTTAGTGCGTTGCAATTTGGGGGGTTGGC